GGCGGGGGCCGCCCGGGCCCGCGGCGCGGCGGTGGCTGCGCCGTGCCCGCCTTGCATCAGCCCGTGGTGCCATCCCGGCCATTTGCATAAGGGGTGGGGTGGCAGGAAAATCCCCGCATTCCCACCCACCTGATGCAACTTGAGCCGCCGCCGCCGCTCCGCCGGGCCCCTGCCCGCAGCCCCCCGGGCACCCCCCGCAGCCCCGCGCTCCTCGGGCCGGCCCCGGTACCTTTCTCATGTCCCCAGCTGCCGCCCGGGCCGCGGCGCACGCCGATCATGGTCCCCGGGGGAGGAAGAGGAGGAGGAGGCGGCGGCGGGGCGGGCTGGCCGGGGCGCGGCGCCGCGCACGCCCCCTCCGCCAGGCCACGCCCCCTCCCCGCCGGGATGCGGCGCTCCCGAGCCACGCCCCCTCCGCCGACGGCCCCGCCCCGCCCCGGGCGGTGGCCACGACCAATCAGCGCCAATGGGGGCCGCCGCCCTGGCCAATCAGCGCCGGCGGGGGCAGCCGGCTCAGCCAATCAGCGCCCACCGGGCCGCGCCCCCGCCCTGGCGCAGCGGGNNNNCCCGCGCCGCACCGGGAACGGGGAATGGGGGCGGGGAACGCCGGGACCCCCGGGCCCAGCCCGCACTGCCGGGGTCACCTTGGCCCCGGGACCCCCCGGCCCGGCCCGGAGTGCGCGACCCCCGGGCGCCCCGGGGCTCCTCGCCCCGGGCACGCCCGGCCCGGTAACCGCGGCCAAGTGTAAGGAGATCCCCGGCCGGGGGGGCCGCGCTGAGCCCCCGCCGCTCATCACATGCCCCGCGTATTTTTATCCTGGTGTTGTGGAAACGGCCCCGGGCACGGCGCCTCCGCCGCCCTCCCCACCCCCAATGCTGCAGAGGGAAGCGCCGGGATTTAATCCCAGCTTTGTCTCCAGCCCCGGCTCAAAACGGGCATTTTTTTATCCGTGGGATAAAAATCAAGTGGATTTCATAATTCCCCTCCCGCCCCGCCCGCTCTCCGGGTGCTGCAACGCCCAAAAAGGAAAGGAAAAAAAAAACAACCCCGCACAGCATTCCCGGAGCGAGTTCCAGCTTCCCGAAATTATTTATATCGCCCGTATTCCCCCGGCAAGGTCGCGCCCGGACCGCGCACAACCCACCGCGAGTCGCAACGTGCCGGGAAAAGTCGTGGAAAAATTTCCAGGCCGGCCCCGGAGCCGCCCGCAGCCCCAGGCGGAGCTCCCGGGCACTGCCGGGGGGAAAATCGCACCCCGAAACCGCCCCGGAACGGGAATGCGGGAGCGCCGAGCCCGGCGGGACGGGGCCGGGCAGGCACGGACGGGACTGCCCGGAGCGGCTCCGGGAACGGGGAAACAGCCCCGGGGGAGGAAAACCGGGATCGGGGGGGAAAAATGGAAAACAGAGCCCTGAGAAGGGGAGGAAAACCGGGATCGGGGGGGGGGGAAATGGAAAACAGAGCCCTGAGAGTGACAGGGATGGAGGAAAACCCGGGATTGGGGGAGAATCACGGAAAAGAGCCCTGAGGGGATGGAAGAAAAGCTGGAATCGGAGGGGAAATCATGGAAAACAGAGCCCTGGAGGGAGCGGGGATGGAGGAAAACCGGGATCAGGGGGAAATTAAGGCAAAGAGCCCCGAGGACGGGGGCGGGACTGGGAAGGTGCGGCCGCAGCCCTCCCCCACCCGCCCCTCCCCATCCCCGGGCTCCCCTCCCGGCACAGCCGGGCCCGGGGAGGCCTCGCCCGAATTCCCCAAATCCGGGCCCGGTTTCCCTGCCTCGGCAGGAATCCCCGAGCCGGGAAGGGCGGCGGAGCCTCAGCAGTGACCTTGCACAAGGCCAGGACCCAGCGATCCCATCCCGGCTGGGAACCCCCGGGGACCAGCAGAGGAGGGGCGGCCTTGGGCCTCGTGTCCCTCTGGCACCTGCAAGGTCGAGCTGCCAGCCCAGCCCGGAGCGGGGCTTTCCCCGGGGGTGGATGCCGGGAAAAGGCAGGGACACGGGATGGCATTCCCAGGGCCTGCTGCTCCTCCACCTCCGGCTCTGTCTCTGCGGCACTCACTGCGCTCCTCACAGCCCGACCCCGATCCTGATCACAATGCCAGTCCCAATCCCAATCCGCTGCGCTCCTCACAGCCCGACCCCGATCCCAGTCCTGATCACAATGCCAGTCCCAATCCCAATCCCAAGCACGATCCTGACCCCAATCCTGATCCTGATCCCGATCACAATGCCAATCCCAATCCCAATCCCAATCCCGAGCACGATCCTGACCCCAATCCCGATCCTGATCCCGATCACAATGCTGATCCCAATCCCAATCCCGAGCACGATCCTGACCCCAATCCCGATCCTGATCCCAACCCCAATCCCTGCTGCAGCAATGCCAGCGGCTCCGGTGTCCTGCTGGGAGGGCAGAGCCATGCTGGAAGGACCTGGGCACATGGAGCAGCACTGACAGCCCCATTCCATGGACCTGGAAGGAGCCAAGGCCACGGAACCACCACTGACACCCCATTCCCTGACCCTGGAAGGAGCCAAGGCTGGGAATTAACACTGACAGCCCCATTCCATGGACCTGGAAGGAGCCAAGGCCACGGAACCACCACTGACACCCCATTCCCTGACCCTGGAAGGAGCCAAGGCTGGGAATTAACACTGACAGCCCCATTCCATGGACCTGCAAGGACCTGGGGACATGGAACACAACTGACAGCCCCATTCCATGGACCTGCAAGGACTGAGGTCATGGAACACAACTGACATCCCCCTTCCACAGCCCTGGAAAGACCCAAGGCTGGGAATTACCACTGACAGCCCCATTCCATAGACCTGGAAGGACTGAGGCCATGGAACCACCACTGACACCTGCATTCCATAGATCTGGAAGGACCTGGGGACATGGATCAGCACTGACCCCCTATTCCTTGACCCTGGAAGGACCTGGGCACACGGACCAGCCCCACAGGACCCAGGATGTGCCACAGGCACAGCAGCAGCTCCCGGGGCCTGGAATGGCATCCCGGCCTTCCCAACGGTCCTGGCTCGAGCAGGAAAACCAAACCCCTCCCAGCCCAGCTGGGGAGGAAAACTGAGCCAAAAGGAATTCTGGGCAGGAAAACTGAGCGAGGAAAAGGCTCCTGAGGAGGGAAACTGAGCAAGGAAGGGAATTCTGGGGAGGAAAACTGAGTGAGGAACTGAACTTTGGGGAAGAAAACTGGGTGAGGAACTGAATTCTGGGCAGGAAAGCTGAGTGAGGAGCAGGCTCCTGGGGAGGAAAGCTGAGTAGGAGCAGGCTCCTGGCCGGGCTCCAGCCCAGCAACCCAACCACCTGCTCCACACCTGGGCCAGGGCTCTTTCCCAACACCCCTGTTTATTTCCCAGCTGGATTGCTGGCTTTCCCAATCCCCAGAGTCACGAGGGCCCCAGCTCCTTCCCCCTCCTTTCACTGCTCCTCTGGAGCCAGAACAGAGCAGACAAAAAGGGAAAACCAGCCCGGGATCACCCCGGGATCGCCCAAACCCAGCCCCGCGCCGGGACTGCGACACCCCGAGCAACGCCGGCACCGAGCCCAAACACAGCGCCCCAAAGCCCTCTGCTCCTACCTCCTTGGTGAGGTCTCCACTGCCGGGCGCCGCCACGGCTCCCAGATCCTCCAGCTCCTCCCCGAAGCCCTGCTCGGCCGCGCCGTCCCTGTCGCCGGCGCCGTCCTGCCGCGCGCCGCCGGCGCCGGGCTGCGAGCCGTCGGCGTCGCGGTGCACCAGCCAGGCGCTGAGCTCGGTGCTGGGCACCCGCAGCCTGTCCAGAGCCCGCACCTGGCTCAGCAGGCGGCGGGCGCCCAAGAAGGAGTCCAGCTGCACGCTCTTGGGGTGCACGCCGTAGCCGCGCAGGTGGTGCAGCGGCGCGGGCGCGTACGCCGAGCTGGGGCCCAGGATGATCTCGCGCAGCGGCGGCAGCCGCGCGCCCAGCGAGCTGTCCACGTCCACGCGCACGCCCACCAGGCTCAGCAGGATGGTGAACTGGATCAGCCCCTCCGTGAAGTACTTCTTCAGGGACAGCATCTCTGCATGGGCAACGGGAGAGGTCACAGAAGGGAAGGGGAGTGAGGACTGAGGGGGGGATGGACAGCGAGGAGATGGCGGGGGAAAAACTGAAAAACAAATTAAAAAAACAAATATTAGGGATGGGGATGGACAGTGAGGAGATGGAGGGGGAAAAATTGAAAAAGAAATAAAGAAAAGCAAGGTTTGAGGGTGGGGATGGACAGTGAGGAGATGGCAGGGGGGAAAACTAAAAAACAAATTAAAAAAACAAATATTGGGGATGGGGATGGACAGTGAGGAGATGGCGGGGGGAAATTTAAAAAGAAATAAAAAACCAAGGTTTGAGGGTGGGGATGGACAGCGAGGAGACGGCAGGGGGAAAAATTGAAAAAACAAATTAAAAAGACAAGGATTGAGGGTGGGGATGGACAGCGAGGAGATGGCAGGGGCAAAAATTGAAAAAGAAATAAAGAAAAGCAAGGTTTGAGGGTGGGGATGGACAGTGAGGAGATGGCAGGGGGAAAAACTAAAAAAAAAACAAATTAAAAAGACAAGGATTGAGGGTGGGGATGGACAGCAAGGAGATGGCAGGGGGGAAATATAAAAAGAAATGAAGAAAATTAAGGATTGAGGGTGGGGATTGACAGCGAGGAGATGGCAGGGGGAAAAATTGAAAAAACAAATTAAAAAGACAAGGATTGAGGGTGGGGATGGACAGCGAGGAGCTGGCAGGGAGAAAAATTTAAAAAAAAGAAAAAAAATAAGGATTGAGGTCGGGGATGGACAACAAGGAGCTGACAAGGGGAAAAGTTTTTAAAAAAGAAGAAAAATAAGGATTGAGAGTAGAGATGGACAACAAGAAGCTGGCGGGGGGAAATTTCAAAGCAAATGAAGATAAACAAGGATTGAGGCTGGGGATGGAGAGCAGGAGCTGGCAGAGGGTGCAGCCTCCACACAACAGGTTGGGTGGGTTTGGCTCTGCTCTGCCCCACTTTCAAACAATCAGTTCTGCCCTCCAGGGCACAGCTGGGAGCCGGGAGAAAAGTTTAAAGAACGCTCCCAAAAGGTCCTCAGCTCAACGAGGCTTGGTTTTCCTCTGAAAAGTCAGGAAATGGGTGCGTGGAGAAGGGCAGAAAATCAAAGTTCCAGCCCGGGACGCTCCGCAGCAGCTCCACCCTCGCCCTCCCCGCTGTTTGTGTCCCGCAGAGCACGCGGAGTCCCGGACCCGGTGGCACTCACTGGCCGAGCACTCCTCATGCAGCGCCGTCCGAGTCCCGCAGCCGCCCCGCTCCGCACGGGCCCGCTCCTGCTCCGCTGCTCTCCTGCTGCTCTCCTGCCCCCGGCCTCTTCCCGGAGCCGTTTATGAGTCAAAGGTCCCGAGCATGGGAAGGTCCAAAGACTCCAACGCTGCCGGCTGCGATTTCATCAGCAGCTGCGATGTAACCAGAGAGCAAACACGGTAACAGCGGGCACCACCCTGCTGGCCCGGCGCCTTGCCCCGCCACACCGGCCCGTTCCGCCCCAGTTCCGGCCCTCCTGCCTCGGCCGAGCCGCCTGCGGCCCCCCGGCCCCGGCTATTGCGGGGCTGCTGCGTCAACCTCCCGCGGCCCGAAGGAGCCGGCTCCGCTCCCCGCCGGGCCGGGGCTTTCCACGGAACACCGGCAGCGCTCCCGGGCCCGCGGCGCGGAGCTGGGGCCCCGGTTTGGGGGGTCCCCGGTTTGGGGATCCCCGGTTTTGGAGGGGTCCCCGGTTTTTGGGGGTCCCCGGTTTTGGGGGCGTCCCCGGTTTGGGGATCCCCGATTTTGGGGCTCCCCCGGTTTTGGGGATCCCCGGTTTGGGGGGCGTCCCCGGTTTGGGGATCCCCGATTTTGGGCTCCCCAGTTTGGGGATCCCCGGTTTGGGGCTCCCCGGTTTTGGGGGTCCCCGGTTTTGGGGTGTCCCCGGTTTTGGGGGGTGTCCCCGGTTTGGGGATCCCCGATTTTGGGGCTCCCCGGTTTTGGAGGGGTCCCCGGTTTTGGGGGGTGTCCCCGGTTTGGGGGTCCCCAGTTTTTGGGGGGGTCCCCGATTTTGGGGTGTCCCCGGTTTTTGGGGGCCTCCCCGGTTTTGGGGGGTGTCCCCGGTTTGGGGGGGTCCCCGGTTTGGGGGGGTCCCCGGTTTTTGGGGGGGTCCCCGATTTTCCGCCGAGGGCAGGCGAGAGCGCGGCGCGGGCCAATGGGAAGCGGGCGGCGGAGAGTTCCTCCCGCCTCCCCGGCGCCGCTTTGATTGGCAGGCGAAGTGACCAATGGGCCCGCGAGGAGGCGCGGGCGGCCCTCGCGCTCGGCGCACCCCAGCCAATGAGAAATCAGAAACAGAGAAGCACGGCTCGCCCCTCTCCGTGATTGATTGACAGCACACCCACCCGATAGCGCGCAACGCCATCACTGAGTGACAGCTGCCCAAACCAATGAAACGACGTGCAGGGTTCGCGCGCTTGAGTGGCAGCGGCGCGCACCAATCGCTGCGGGGCAGCGGCACCGCCCCTTCGCCCCTCAGCGGTTGCCATGGCGACGGTCGGCCCGGAGCGGGGCGAGGCCGCCATGGCGGGGCCGCGCTGGGCCGGGCCGGGGCCGGTGCCGGTGGGGCCGCGCTGGGGCTGTGCCCAAAGCCCTGCTCGGGGCCGCGATGCGTGGGGAGAGGTGCAAAGCGCTGCTGGCATCGGGCCCCGGCCTTGCCGTGCCCTGCCCGGGTCGTCAGCCCCAGCGCGGCCTGGAACGCCAGCAGTGACCGGGCGGGACCGCGCGGAGCGGGGCACAGCCTCAGGGCACGGCCCCGGCCGCAGGGCGCGCGAGGGATCCCTGCCCTGCCCACAGGGTCCCTGTGGGATCCCTGCCCTCTTTCCCCTTTCTGCAGGGATCCCTGTGGGATTCCTGCGTGTTCCCCCCTTCCCACCCGGATTCCTGTGGGATTCCTGCCCTGCCCACAGGGATCTGCCAGGGATTCCTGCCCCTTCTCCCCTTCCCCATCAATCCCTGTGGGATCCCTGCCCTCTTTCCCCTTTCTGCAGGGATCCCTGTGGGATTCCTGCCTGTTCCCCCCCTTCCCACACAGATCCCAGTGGGATCCCAGCCCAGCAGGTGGGAGGCCGGGGCAGCTCCGCCCGATCCTGCCCGTCCCTGCCCTGCCCCACAAACCCGCCGGGACAAACAGGACGCTGCTTCATCCCAGGGGAAAAAAATAATAAATAAATAAACACGGGAAAACGGCGTGGGGTGCCGCACCCGGCAGCAGGGCGAGGTTGGCCAGGGTTTCCCAGGGTTTCCCAGGGTTTTCCCAGGGTACGGGGATCCGGGCAATATTCCTGCCCCTCCCTGCTCCATTTGAGATTCCTGCCTCTTCCCACATTGATCCCTGTGGGATTCCTGCCTTTCCCACATGGATTTGTTGGGATTCCTGCCCTCTTTCCCCTTTCTGCAGGGATCCCTGTGGGATTCCTGCCTGTTCCCCCCCTTCCCACACAGATCCCAGTGGGATCCCAGCCCAGCAGGTGGGAGGCCGGGGCAGCTCCGCCCGATCCTGCCCGTCCCTGCCCTGCCCCACAAACCCGCCGGGACAAACAGGACGCTGCTTCATCCCAGGGGAAAAAAAAAATAAATAAATAAACACGGGAAAACGGCGTGGGGTGCCGCACCCGGCAGCAGGGCGAGGTTGGCCAGGGTTTCCCAGGGTTTCCCAGGGTTTTCCCAGGGTTTTTCCAGGGTTTCCCAGGGTTTCCCAGGCTGTTTGTGCCCCCCAAAACCCGCAGAGACCCAGGGAGGCCACGGTTTCCCAGGGTTTTCCAGGTTTTCCCAGGGTTTTCCTGGGTTTTCCCAGGGTTTTTCCAGGATTTTCCAGGTTTTCCCAGGGTTTCCCAGGCTGTTTGTGCCCCCCAAAACCCGCAGAGACCCAGGGAGGCAGGAATGAGTCCAGGGAGACAAGGGAAGGTGTTGGAGGGGCTGGAAGTGCCCAGATCCCAGAGATTTGGGGTCATGCCCTCCCTAAACCCCCCTGGGCTGGATGTTGGGGGTGTTGCCCACCCCAAATGCCCCCCAGGACAGAGGGGGTGTCTGGCAGCCCCCCCAAACCCCTGCCGTGACTCCCGGGGCAGTTTCCAGCTGGGAACCCGAGCTGGGCTGTCCCTCCGGGTTATTTTTAGTGTCCCCAGGGCTATTTGGGGACAGCTGGCCCTGTCCCCGCGCCCCCCTCGTGCCCCTGAGGGGGGCACAGAGCCCCTTCCCCTTTTTTTACCCCCAGGGAAACACTCCAGCCCCAAAAATTAAAGTGAAAATCCTCCCAAACAAGGGAAAATTCGGGTGAATCACCAGAAAATTCCAGGCTGGGAGAGCTCAGGGAACGGGAGCAGGGAGTGGAGGGGCTGGGATTATTTGGGACCCCCAGATCCAGGGTCCCCTGGAATCCAGGAGCCCCTTCCTCACTTTTTTCTCCTCCAGGAAAACGCTCCACCCCAAAAACTGGAGCAAGCACGGGAAGGTTCGGGTGAGTCACTGGAAAATTCCAGACGGGGAGAGCTCAGGGAGCAGGGAGTGGAGGGGCTGGGATTACTTGGGATGGATCCAGGAGCCCCCTCCCAGCGTCGGTAATGCCCAGGGATTAATGAGGCACTAATGAAGTTTGTCCTTCCCAGCTGGATCCAGCCGCAATTAAAGATTCTCCTGCCCAATCCGGTGTCGGGGCGGACCCGGCTCTCTCCCTCCTTGCTGGGGTGGTTTTTTGGGATGTTTATGGGGTTTTTTTGTTAAACCCCAACCTTTATGGAGCGATCACTTCCACGGGTCCAGCACAGGGGTCCCGTGGGGCTGGGACCCCCATGGATGTACCCCACAGACCCCCCCAAGCTTGGGACAGCCATCCTAAGGACACCCCAGCATTGGGATCACCCCCTTTTGGGGAACCCCCGACCCCACAGACCCCAGAGCAACCCCTCACCCTACTTTGGGATCACCCCCTTTGGGAGCCCCCCTAAACTGGGTTTTACCCCAGTCCCGGGTACCCCCAACCCCGCAGAGCCCCCCCGGCTGGCACGGCCTCTGCAGGGCCCCCCACGCCTCCCTGGCACCCCAAAATCCCTCCCGGGCACCCCAAAATCCCTCCCCGGGACCTCAGCGCGCCCCTTTCCCGACGCTCCTTGCGACACCGGGCTTTGTTTGCATAGCTCCGCCCCTTAGAGAGCATTTTATCCTTATATGGTTCATGGTCACGCCCATTCCTGCCATGGCCCCGCCCCTCGCGCCCCGCCCCGCCTCGCGCATTCGCGGTCCTGCAGCGCCACCTGCCGGCGGCGGTGCGGCAGCGCGGGGACCCCGCCCCGAGCCCCCAAACCGGGACCCCCAAACCGGGACCGACCCTCCCCTGAGCCCCCCAAACCGGGACCGACCCTCCCCTGAGCCCCCCAAACCGGGACGCCCAGAGCGGGGCCAGCCGGGGGTGGGGCAGGGCACCGAGCGCCTCCAAACCCCATCCTCGACCCCTCCTGTCCCCTCTGTGTCCCCCCAGTGTCCCCATCCCTGGGGGGGCTCTGTGTCCCCTCAGTGTCCCCCCTCCCTCCGCAGCCCGAGAACAAAGAGGAGGAGGAGGAGGAGCGCGAAGGCCCCGGCGGTGACAGCTGGTGTCCCCCGGGTGACACGGGGACAAAGGCACCGCCGCCGGCGACAGAGGGGCTGGGGGGGGGACAGGGCTGGGGGACAGCGACCCCGCAGCACCCCAGAAAACCCCACAGCACCCCAAATATCCCAGACATCCCACACACCCCAGACACCCCGCAGCCGTGTGGGGTGCAGGGCGGTTTGGGGATAACAGGGCGGGAGAGTTCTGGGGGGCCCGCGAGCCTCGTGCCCCCCAAAAATCCTCCGGCTGAGGCTCCCCAGCTCATCACACCCAAAATAACCCCGGCAGGTTTCCCCTCCCGCTGCCCCCACTGCTCCCGGGTTTCCGTTCCCTTCCCCTCCAAGGACCCCCCAACACCCGGGACCCCCCAACACCCGGGACCCCCCGGCTCCCCCCGATGGACGGGACCCCTCGCTCGGCCCCCGCCGCTCCGGTGTCGCGTCCCGCACGGGAACCCCGGAGAGCGCGGGGCAGCTGCAGCGCCGGGCCTGGGGAGGGGGCGCGGGGGTCCCCACCCCGCCGGGGCACCGGGAGCGGCTGCTGGGCCCTAAAAATGGGGCTGGGAGGGGAGGAGGGGGAGAACCCCGAGAGGGGAGAGGGGATGGGGGGCTCGGGGGTGCGAGGGGGGAGCGGGGAGAGATCGGGAGGGAGATGGGGAGAGGGACGGGGAGAGATCGGGGAGGGGAGGATGGAGAGAGGGATGGAAGGATGCCAGAAAAGATGGAGGGAGGGATGAACAAGGGGTACAGGGAGAGATGGACAGCGGGACGGACAGAGGGACGGACAGAGGGACGGACAGAGGGATGGACAGAGGGATGTGGGAAACGATGCCAGGAGAGCTGTAGGGACACGGGGATGGATGGATGAATGGATGATGGATGGATGGATGATGGACGGACGGACAGACGGACGGACGGGGAGCGCACAGGACAGGCAGGGCCGGGTGGCGCGGCCGTGGCCGCGGGGACAGTTGGGGACAGTTGGGGACAGCGGAGCCGCCCCCCAGCTGGCGGGGTCCGGGGCTAATGGAGCGAGCGGCGCTGCCGGGGACGCGGGGACAGCGCCGGGACAGATGGAGGGACCTTAATTGGTAATTAAATCCCTCCCTGGCAGGTGAGACCGAGCGGCAGCCGGCCCGGGGGGGCGGTGACACTGCGGGGGGCGGTGACACCGCCGGGTCCCCGTTCCGGCCCCGTGCCATCCCTTTGTCTGGCCCGCCCCAGGCTGGTGGCAGTGCCCGCACGGCAGGGACAGCCGGGCGGGCACAGGGGGACCCCGGGTTCTGGGGGGCTGCGACTGCAGTCCCGTCTGTCCCTTCTGTCCCTCTGTCCCTGCCCGGGGGGATCAGGGGCCGGGGTCTCGGGGGGGATGAAGGCGCCAAAGAGGCCCGAGCCCCCCGCAGTGCCCCCCAGACCCCGGGGGGATCAGGGGCCGGGGTCTCGGGGGGGCATGAAGGCGCCAAAGAGGCCCGAGCCCCCCGTAGTGCCCCCCAGACCCCCCGAGTCCCCCGAGCCCCCTCCCCGCCGCGGGACCCTCCGCGTTTCCCGGCTCCGTGCCGGCAGCGACAGGCGGTGGGTAATTAATGAGCCCGTTAATCACCGCTCGCGGGGTAATGAGGGGCTCCCCGGAGCCCGGCTGGCACCGAGCGGGGAGGGGGACGGGGACAGGGACGGGGATGGGTTTGGGGACAGGGACAGGGGAGTGGGGAGCCCCACAGCCCCCCCCCGACCCCGTGGGGCCAGCTCCCCCAGACCCGTGCGCACGGGGCTCCCTGCGCCCCACACCATCCCCGGGGGGGACAGACCCCAGGGCCGCCCCAGTCCTATTGGGGACCCCCAGCCCCACTGGGACCCCCAGCCCCGTGTGGGGGCGGTCCCACAGCAGAGCCGGGCCAATGAGCGGCTGTGACGCCTCAAGGGGGCGGGACCAGGTAGCGACACCAACCAATCGCCTGTGTGGGTGGGTGTGGTCGGTGGATGACGTCACTGGGCGTGGCAGCCCCGCCCGGTCCGTCCCAGTCCCGCGGGGTTTGGGGTCTCTGGGGTGATCGGTGGGGTCCCCGCGCTCCCTGCGGGCGGGGCCGAGCGCTGTCACCGTGCCAGGGACAGGGACAGGGACAGCGGCCGGGAATCACCCGCTCTGCCGTGAAACCGAACCCCCGCACCCGGGCCGGGGGCTGCTGCGACCCCCAGGGGGACGGAGGGCTGAGAGGGGGTCCCGCTCTCGCCCCCCACTCTCCTGTCCTTGTCCCTGTCCCCCCTCCCCCTCGGTGACACGCGTCTCCTCCGCCCACCCCAAACACAGCTCGATGTGACACAAAATTCGGGTTTATTCACCGACACCCCCAAAGCCCGCAGCACCCCCGGGGGGCGGGACCCGCTGGGGACCCCCCGTGTCCCCTGGGTGTCACAGGCTGATGTCCTTTAGGGGTCACAGGTCGCTGTCCCCAGGTGTCCCAGGTCGCTGTCCCCAGGTGTCACAGGTCGCTGTCCCCAGGTGTCACAGGTCGCTGTCCCCAGCTCAGGGTCCCTCACCAGCCGCTGCAGCTCCCTGGTGCTCTCTTGCAGCTGCTGCAGCTGCGGCTCCAGCGCCGCCTGCTCGGCCAGGGCCTGGCGGCGCCGCTGCCCCAGCGCCTCCCTCTTGGCCAGCTGCAGCTCGGCCTGCAGCAGCTGCTGCCGCAGCAGGGCTGTCACCCGCTCCACGTACCTGGGGACAGGGACAGGGGTCACACTGCAGGTCGCTGTCCCCAGGTGTCCCAGGCTGATGTCCTCAGGTGTCACAGGCTGATGTCCCCAGGTGTCCCAGGTCGCTGTCCCCAGGTGTCACAGGTCGATGTCCCCAGGTGTCCCAGGTCGCTGTCCCCAGGTGTCACAGGTTGATGCCCATCAGGTTCACCGGGCGTCCCCCGTAGCGCTTGGAGATGTCGGCCTCGATCTGCACGGGCACGGGAGGGGCTCAGCGGGGCCGGGGCTGGGGGGCTCGGGGGGCTCAGGGGGGACAGGGACAGGGACAGGGACAGGGGTCACACTGTGGGGCAGGGACAGCAGCGCCGTCACCCGCTCCACGTACCTGGGGACAGGGACAGGGACACGGGTCACCCCGCGGGGCAGGGACAGCAGGGACACCTCAATCACCCTGCACGGCCCCCCTGGTTAAGGGCTGGGTTTGGGGCTGGTTTAGGGCTGGGTTTGGGGCTGTTCTGAGGGCTTCTTCAGAGCTATATTAGGGATGATTTCAGGGGCTGGTTGGGGTCTATTTTAGGGATTTTTTAGGGTCATTTGAGGTCTATTTTAATGCTATTTTAGGGATTATTTGAGGGGCTGGTTGGGGGCTGGTTCAGGGCTATTTTAGGGGCTATATTAGGGCTGGTTTTAGGGCAGATTTTAGGGCTATTTTAGGGCTGGTTTTAGGGCTGGTTTTAGGATTATTTGAGCTCTGTTTTAGGGCTATTTTCGGGTCTGTTGTAGGATTATTTGAGCTCTGTTTTAGGATTATTTTCAGGTCTGTTTTAGGATGATTTGAGCTCTATTTTAGGACTATTTTCGGGTCTGTTGTAGGATTATTTGAGCTCTGTTTTAGGGCCATTTTCGGGTCTGTTTTAGGATGATTTGAGCCCTGTTTTAGGGCAGTTTGCCCCGCTGGGGCAGCCCGGCACCTGGGCGAGGCGAGGATCATGCAGAGGTGCTGCACGCTGCGGGAGCAGAGCTGGGCCAGCAGCTCCCGCGCCGTGGCCAGCTGCGCCCGCAGCCGCGCGCCGCTCTGGCCCTGCAGCACGGCCGGCGCCAGCTGCAGCTGGCTCATGGCCACCACGTCGGCCTCGTCCTCCAGCTCCAGCAGCCGCTGCGCCAGGAACAGCTCCAGCTGCGGGGACACGGCACGGGGTCAGGGACACCGCGGGGACACGGCAGGGACAGGGACATGGCAGGGAGAGTGACAGGGACATGGCAGGGACAGGGACAGGGACAGGGACAGGGACACCGACAGTGACAGTGACACCAACAGGGACATCGACAGGGACACTCCAGGGCCACCCCAGGGCCACCCCCGTGCCAGCGGTGTCCCCGTGCCCACCTCCATCAGCTCGTCGATGAACTGGTTCCGAGTCTCGGGGTTCTCCAGCACGGTCAGCGCGTCCGAGCCGCGGGCAACGCCCTCGGGGGCTGCGCGGGGCGGGACCCCACAGCCAGCTCAGCTTCACCCCAAAACCCTGCCCAGCGCCCAAAAACCCTGCCCAGCACCCAAAAACCCTGCCCAGCACCCCAAATCCCTGCCCAGCACCCCAAATCCCTGCCCAGCACCCAAAAACCCTGCCCAGACCCAAAAACCCCTGCAAAGAACCCAAAAACCCCTGCTCAGACCCAAAACCCCTGCCCAGAACCCAAAAATCCCCGCCCAGAACCCAAAACCCCCTGCAAAGCACCCCAAAATCCCTGCCCAGAACCCAAAATCCCTGCCCAGAACCCAAATCCCTGCCCAGCACCCCAATCCCACTCCCTGCCCCACCCAACCCCCCTGGGGTGTCCAGGGGCACTGGGAACGGGGAATTTGGGGGGATCTGGGAGCTGCCTGTGCCCCCAGGACCCCCAGCCCTGCTCACCCTCAGTTCCAGACTCCACCACCGTGATCGTCCCCTCCTGTCCCTGCTCTCCGTCGCCCCAGTCGATGCCATCGTCCCCCTGGGGAGCAAAGGGTGACACAGTGACATCAGGAGGATTTGGGGACACAAGGACACCCCTGGCCTGGGGCTGTCACCCACCTGGGGGCTGGGCTCTGCTGTGATTGTCCCCTCCTGTCCCTGCTCTCCGTCGCCCCAGTCGATGCCATCGTCCCCCTGGGGAGCAAAGGGTGACACAGGGTGACACAGCGGGGATTTGGGGACACAGGGACATCTCTGGCTCTGGGGGTGTCACAAACCTGGGAGCTGGGCTCTGCTGTGGTTGTCCCCTCCTGTCCCTTCTCTCCGTCACCCCAATCAATGCCACCGTCCCCCTGGGGAGCAAAGGGTGACACAGGGTGATTTGGGGACATTGCCCCATCAATGCCACCATCCCCCTGAGGAAGGAAAGGTGACACAGGGTGACACAGGGACGTCGCCCACCTGGGGCCCGGGCTCCACGGTGATGCCCCAGTCGATGTCCCCGGCCTGGGGCGGCTCCGCGGGGAAATCCCCCCAGTCAATCTGCGGGGAAAGCCCCAAAACCCCCTGAGGCACGGCCCGACCCCCCCGGCACCCACCGTGTCCCCCCGTGTCCCCCCGTGTCCCCCAGCCCCCACCATGTCCCCTCGTATCCCCTCGTGTCCCCCATGTCCCCGTGTCCCCCATGTCCCCCCCGTGTCCCCCGGCACCCACCGTGTCCTGGCGGGGCGGCTCCGGTGCCTCGGGCGGCTCGGGCCGCTCCAGCCGCCGCGGCTCCTGCCCCGTGCGCCACCGGAACACCGAGCAGTTCCCGTGCGCCGCCACCAGCCGCAGCAGCGGCAGCGCCTCGGCCCCGGGGCTGGGCGGGGACAGCGCGGGACGTGGGACACGGGACACAACAGGGACATGGGGACACGGGACAGCACGGGACAGGGGACACGGGACAGAACAGGGACACGGGACACGGGACAGAACAGGGGACATGGGACAGAACAGGGACACGGGACACGGGACAGAACAGGGGACATGGGACAGAACAGGGACACGGGGCAGAACAGGGGACATGGGGACACGGGACATGGGACAGAACAGGGGACACGGGGCAGAACAGGGACATGGGACAGAACAGGGACACGGGACAGCGCAGGGACACGGGACAGAACAGGGACACGGGGACATCAGCGGGGATGAGATCGGTCATGGGGACATTGGGGTGGGGACATCGGGGTGGGGACACCTCAGCATCGGCAGTGCCGGGGTTTTGGGGCCAGGAGCTGTTTTGGGGCAGTTTGGGGAGCTGGGGCTGTTTTAGGAGAGCTCAGGGCTGGTTTGGGGGAAGGGGCTGATTTTGGGGGTGATTTTGGGATGTCTGGGCTGTTTTGGGGGTGATTTTGGGGGTAGGGACTGTTTTTGGGGGTGTCAGGGCTGTTTCGGGGTGTCAGGGCTGTTTCGGGGCTGTCTCGGGGGGCCAGGGCTGTCCCCACCTGTCACACACGAAGGCCACGCAGGCCTGGTACAGCTCGATGGCGTCCCCGAGGGCGCTGGCGCCGTCCCCGACGCGGGACAGCAGCGACGGCAGCGCCTGCACCTGGGCCAGCAGCTCCCGGCGCACGTCCTCGCCCTGGGGACACGCGGGGACACTTGGGGACACTTGGGGACACTCGGGGACACCCTGGGGATACTGCAGGGACACTCGGGGACACTCGGGGACACAGAGGGGACACCTGTTTCAGGGTCTTTTTGGGATTACCTTGGGGCCCATTTGCGGTTATTCCAGCCCCACTTGGGGGGGAATATTTGGGCTATTCCAGGCCTGTTTTAGGGTCTGTTTGGGGTTTTTCTGGGGCCTGACTGGGGCTAGTCCAGGCTTGTCTCGGGCTCTGTTCAGGGATATTCTGGGGTCTGTTTGGGGTTATTCCAGCCCCATTTGGGGCTATCTCAGCCCTGTTTGGGGCTCCCTGTGGGGCTCTCCCAGCCCTGTTTGGGGCTCTCTTTGGGGCTCTCCCAGCCCTGTTTGGGGCTCTCTTTGGGGCTCTCCCAGCCCTGTTTGGGGCTCTCTTTGGGGCTCTCCCAGCCCTGTTTGGGGCTCCCCGTGGGCTCTCCCAGCCCTGTCTGGGGCTCTGTTCAGGGCTTGGGGACACTTGGGGACACCCTGGGGACACCCTGGGGACACCACAGGGACACTTGGGGACACTTGGGGACACCCTGGGGATACTGCAGGGACACTTGGGGACACTTGGGGACACCACAGGGACACTCAGGGACATTTGGGGACACTCGGGGACACCCTGGGGATACTGCAGGGACACTCGGGGACACTTGGGGACACCACGGGGACACAGAGGGGACACCTGTTTCAGGGTCTTTTTGGGATTACCTTGGGGCCCATTTGCGGTTATTCCAGCCCCACTTGGGGGGGAATATTTGGGCTATTCCAGGCCTGTTTTAGGGTCTGTTTGGGGTTTTTCTGGGGCCTGACTGGGGCTAGTCCAGGCTTGTCTCGGGCTCTGTTCAGGGATATTCTGGGGTCTGTTTGGGGTTATTCCAGCCCCATTTGGGGCTATCCCAGCCCTGTTTGGGGCTCTCTTTGGGGCTCTCCCAGCCCTGTTTGGGGCTCTGTTCAGGGCTCTCCCAGCCCTGTTTGGGGCTCTGTTCAGGGCTCTCCCAGCCCTGTCTGGGGCTCTGTTCAGGGCTCTCCCAGCCCTGTCTGGGGCTCCCTGTGGGGCTCTCTTTGGGGCTCTCCCAGCCCTGTCTGGGGCTCTCTTTGGGGCTCTCCCAGCCCCGTTTGGGGCTCCCCGCGGGCTCCCCGGCCCGCCGGGCCCCGTGGCACTCACGGCGATGCCGTACTGGCGGCAGGAGCTGAGGAAGCGCTCGCGGAGCTCGCCCGCCCGCAGCTGGCACTCGTCCTCGCGCCGCGCCAGCTCCTGCTGCGCCTGCTGCCAGCGGCCGCGCTGCCGCCGCAGCGCCGGCACCTCGTAGCTGACGCTGCGCCCCAGCAGGCTCGAGAGCTCGGCTGGGGGGACAGCGGGGTCACCCCGGCACCCCAGGGCGCTCGGGGGGCCCTGACACCCCAGGGGGCTCGGCCCGCGGGGATCGGGCGTTCCCACAAACCCGGTGCTTCAAATGCCGTCCCATCCCGGTTTGGGGGCTGGATTCAGCTTTAAATCCCACCCCATCCCATCCCACCCCATTCCAGTTTGGGGTTTGAGTTCCCTTTTAAATCCCATCCCAGTCTGGGGGTTGGATTCACCTTTAAATCCCGTCCCATCCTGGTTTGGGGGCTGGATTCAGCTTTAAATCCCATCCCATCCCATCCCATCCCATCCCATCCCATCCCATCCCGGGGTTTGAACTTCCCTTTAAATCCCATCCCATTCTGGTTTGGGCACTGAATTCCACCCACCCAGGGGTTTCTTTGGGATCCCATTCCCATTCCCACTCCCATTTCTCCCACTCCCATTATTCCCATTATTCCTGGTATTCCCATTATTCCCGTTCCCATTATTCCCATTATTCCCGTTCTCATTCCCATTATTCCCGTTATTCCCATCCCCCTCACCCAGGTAGGCGTTGTCCTTCTCGTAGAGGGACACGATCTCCTGCCAGTCCTGGGGATGGACACGAGGGTCAGCACCAGGAGCAGGAGGAGGAGGAGGAGGAAGAGAGGGATGGATGAGGAAGATAGGGATGGAGGAGGAAGACGAGGATGAGGAAGAGGAGGAGGAAGAGGAGGGATGGAGGAGGAAGAGGAAGGCGCTCCCACCTTCATCCTCTGGGACGAGTAGCGCCCGAAGAGGTTCTTGGTGGAGGCCTCGGTGCCCTTGAGGATCTCCACGATGCGCAGGCAGTGGAAGTAGTGCAGGTCTGGGGGCACCAACGGGGTCAGGGGGGCGCTGGGGGTCCCCGGGGGGCTTTGGGGGATCCCCAGGACACTCCTGGGCGAGGCTCTGGGCGGTTCTTGAGCTGCCACCACCACCCCTTTGTGAACAACCCTCCCAGCCCCAATCCTGGCTCGCCGGGGGCAGATCCAGCCCCAAATCCCAAATCCCAAATCCCAAACCCTCAACGCCCAATTCTCAAACCCCCAATCCCCAAACCCCCAAAGCCCAATCCCCAATCTCCACACCCCAACTCCCAAACCCCAAATCCCAAACCCCAACTCCCAAACCCCCAGACCCCAATTCCAAGACCCTGAACCCTGATCCCAGACCCCAAACCCCAATTCCCAAACCCCCAAAACCCCAAATCCTAAATCCCGAGCCCCAATTCCCAGACCCAAACCCCGATTCCCAAACCCCCAAACCCCGACGCCAGCCCCCCGTGGCAGCCGCAGCACCCACAGGAGCCCTGGAGCAGCGCTCGGATCTCGGGGTGCTCGGGCATGTCCTGCAGCGCCGCCCGGATCCGCTCCCGCACCTGCGCCACCTGCGCCGGCCAGCGCCGCCCGCAGTGCCGCCGGTCCAGCAGCCAGTCTGCGGGGACACGGGGACAGCAGGGTCACCGGGGGGACACCGGGACAGCGGGGTGACACAGGGACACCCCGGGATATGAGGACAGCGATAGGGTCTGGGGACATGAGGACAGTGAGGACACCAGGGGACACCCCTGGATATGGGGACAGGGGGACAAACACCGGGAGCAATCCCCGAGTCTTTGCCCAAAGCCTGGGACGGATCCCCGGCTCTGCCCCCGGGGCAGGAGGGAAAGGGGGAACGGGGCCGGGATCACGGGATGAATTCCCGGTCCCTCCCAGCGGGAGCGGGGCCGGGATCGCCGGGATGAATTCCCGGTCCCTCCCACGGGAACGGGGCCGGGATCGCCGGGATCGCCGGGATGAATTCCCGGTCCCTCCCAGCAGGAACGGGCCGGGATCACCGGGATGAATTCCCGGTCCCTCCCCGCGGGAGCGGGGCCGGGATCACCGGGATGAATTCCCGGTCGCTCGCAGCCTGAGGGGGAGCGGGCCCGGGCACGCCGGAGCTCCCGTACCCAGCAGCTTGCTGGTCTGGATGTCGATGGGCACATTCCGGTAATCCTGGGCAGCGACCTGCGGGGAGAGCGCGGCACGAGCGGGGCTGCGGCAACCGGCACCGGCACCGGGACCGGGACCGGCACCGGCACCAGAACCGGGACCCTCCGCTCCAGAGCCAGGCCCGGCTGTCCCCGCTGCTCTGCTCCTTTCCCCGATCCCGATTCCTTCCCCGCTCCCATTCCCCTTCCCGTTCCAGTTCCCGTTCCCGTTCCCGGTCCCGCTCCCGTTCCCGGTCCCGTTCCCTTCCCCGCTCCCGCTCCGCACCTGCATCTTTCCCGTCACCGCCTCTCCACTTCCGCCCTCCCCGCCCCAGCCAATCGCCTGCCCCAGCGCCCGCGCCTCAGCCAATCAAAACGCGCCCCGCCCAAAGGTCCCGCTCCCGCCAATATCGTTCCCGCTTCCGTTCCCGCTCCCGGTCCCGGTTCCGGTCCCGGTCCTTTCCCCGCTCCCATTCCCCTTCCCGTTCCCGTTCCCGCTCCCGTTCCCATTCCCGGTCCCGATCCCCTTCCCGTTCCCGTTCCCGCTCCCGTTCCCGTTCCCGTTCCCGTTCCCGATCCCGGTCCCGTTCCCGGTCCAGTTCCCGTTCCCGGTGCCGGTGCCCGGCGCGGCGCGGTGAGGCCGGTGCTGGCGAGCGGTGCTGTCGGGCTGCAAGCGGCATCCCGATTCCTTCCCCGCTCCCATTCCCCTTCCCGTTCCAGTTCCCGTTCCCGTTCCCGGTCCCGCTCCCGTTCCCGGTCCCGTTCCCTTCCCCGCTCCCGCTCCGCACCTGCATCTTTCCCGTCACCGCCTCTCCACTTCCGCCCTCCCCGCCCCAGCCAATCGCCTGCCCCAGCGCCCGCGCCTCAGCCAATCAAAACGCGCCCCGCCCAAAGGTCCCGCTCCCGCCAATCAGAAGGCGGCAGCTCGGAGGCAGCGCCACGTCCCTGTGCCTCCATTGGGTGGAGGGGAAAGGGCGTGGTCAGTGCGGACCAATCGGTGCGGGCAGTGGGAGTTTCGGGTGCCGATCCCGATCCCGGTGCAAATCCCGATCCCGGCCATAATCCCCGTCCCAAACCGGGTCCCATTGCCGGTCCCGGTTCCAAACCTGGCACCAGTCCCGGTCCCGGTCCCCAGGTGCCCCCAGAGCGGATCCCGGATCCCCTGGGAAGCGCTGGGTGCCCCAGCAGACACCCGGGATCCCCCCGGGACCCCCAGCAGCCGCCCCAAAAGGAGCCCCAGTCCCTGGGGGGGTCCCGGAGCGGATCCCGGATCCCCCCGGGCCCCACAATCCCCTCCGGAGCCGGGATCCCCCGGGACCCGCTGGGACCATCCCCGGGATCCCCTCGGGGAGCGGCTCCGGGGCTCCCGCGGTGTCCCCGTGTCCCCGTGGGGTCACATCCCGCTGCCGGTGCCTGACCCTGGTGCCACCGAGCCGCCGCCCCCGGGCCCCGAGCGCTGCCACGGCCACCCGGGGCCACCCGGGCCACCTCCCGGGGCCACCCAGAGCCACCCGGGCCACCTCCCGGGGCTGGCACCGCTCCCTGTCATGAATATTCAGCCGCGCCTGGCCCGGCCCCGCTGTTTGCTCGGGCAGGAGGGGTTTGGGTTCACCTTGACGGGAGCACCGGGACAGCCGCAGGTGAGCGGCACCGGCCCGCGCTGCCCCCCGGGACAGCCCGGGACACACCCGGGACATCTCCGGGACACCCCCGGGACCCCGGGAGGCGGCAGGAGCAGGTACCGGGGTGCGGTGTCCGGGCTGGGGATGGGACCCCCGGGGACAGTCTGGGGACACGGCCGGGGATGGTCCCAGCTGGCCCTGGCACGGGGAGGGGGCGCTGGGGCCACCGGCGGGGGGGTGGCCGCAGTCCCTGCGCCCCCGTCCCCACGTCGGGAAAGGAAAAGGGGTTTTTATCCCCAAAGCGACACCGGGGAGGGCTCGCTGGTGGCCGAGCGCCACGGGGACGGGGACAGGGACGGGGACACGGGGCTGCGCTGGCCCCCGGCCCTGAGAATCCCCCCGGAGCCTTCCCGGCCCCCGCAGCCCCCGCGGGACGGGCGAGCCCCGAGCCGGGCGGGGACCCCCGGCACTCCCCGGTGCCACCTGCGCCCCAGTTCCTGTTCCTGTTTGCCCAGCGCGCTCCCTCCCTGCCACACGTGGCTGATAAGGGCAGCTCCCGCCGCTGCCAGCCGCCTTTGCCCGGAATTCCCGAGCCGTGGAACATCCATCCATCCATCCGTGCCCTCCCGGTGCCCCGGGGTCCCGCCGGGAGCACCCGCGGGCAGGACGCGCCGCAGCCCCGGGGGCACCGGGGGCACCGGGAGGAGCTCAGGCGCGATGCCGTTGCAGGATGGCCGACGGGCACGGCTGGTGGAAGCTGACGTTCCTGCGGAAGCGCCAGGCAGCGCCCGCCGTGCTCTACGAGAGCCCCGAGGGGCCCGCGGCGCCCGGCGGGGACAGCGCCGAGGGCACGGGCCCCGAGGGCACCCCCGGCTTCGCCGCCCGCCTGGAGAAGATCGTGGACAAGAGCACCAAGGGCAAGCACGTCAAGGTCTCGCACTCCGGGCGCTTCAAGGAGAAGAAGAAAGTGAGGGCGACGCTGGCCGAGCATCCCACCCTGTGCGGGGCCGGCGAGCGCGACGAGAAGTGACCCGGGCGGATTGTCGCCCGCCGGGGACGGGATGGACAGGAGGACTCAGGATGGAATTCACCTGCGGCGGGGACAGCCCGTGAGCCCAGCCCGGGCAGAGCGGGGCCGGCGCTGCCCGCCCCGCCCGCTGCCCGGCGCTGACCGGTTCGGACCGGGATGGACGCTCCCCGCCCGGCTCTGCCCCGATCCCGATCCCGATCCCGGTCCCCTCCTCCCGTCCCGTTCTGGGGCTGGGCCCCGCTCGTGTCCCGGTCCCGAGGGGCTGCGGAGCCGCCCTGCCGAGACCCCCGGAGGGGATGCGACACTTCCCTGTCCCGAGGGAGCGACCCTGCGGGCCCGATCCCGCTCCCGGAGGAGCCGCGTTCCCCGGAGGAGCCGCTTTTCCCGGGAATCGCCCCCCGGAGGAGCCGCTTTTCCCGGGATTCTCCCCCCGGAGGAGCCGCTTTCCCGGGATCGCCCCCCGGAGGAGCCGCTTTCCCGGGATCGCCCCCGCTGCTGGAAGCGGGGGTCCCGCCCCGCGGCCCGGGATGCTGGGAGCGCTCGCGCCTGCTGCTAATTAACTGCGGTTAATAAACCGAGCCTGGGAGCGGAGACGGCTCCGGGAGAGCTCCGCGGATCCCCGGATCCAGCCCCGAAGGGGGGGAAGCTCCGGATCGCCGCGGGACGCGGGTGGGAGCGGGGCCGCGCCGGGGAATCCCTGAGCGGTGAAGGAGGAGGAAGAGGAGGCGGATCCCGAAACGCGGCATGGAAGGGTGGGAAGGCTCTGGGTCCTTCTGGGATCGCGCTGGGAGCCACCCCGGGAATCCCTGAGCCCTGGAGAAGCGGCCGGAGCTCCCCGCTCCCTGAGCCCGCGGGGAAAGGGACGATCCCGGATCCCGGATCCTCGATCCCGGCCCCGCAGGGCGCGGCTGTTCCGGAGCCCAGCCCCGGTTTCCCGGCACGGGGCCGGTGCCGGTGCCGCCCTGGCTCGGTTCGCTCCCGGGATCCCGGATTCCCGGCGGGAATGGGAGGGCAGCGGTTCCCTTTCCCCCTGGAATTTGGGACATCGCTCCCCTCGTGTCCTTCCCAAGGGACGGGCACAGCCGGGGGGTCCAGAGCCACTCGGGGGCTGTGACAGTGCCACAAAGGGGGTGGCACCGCTGGGACAGGCACGGTCCCCCCCAGGGCCGGCGGGCACGGAACCGGGCCGGGTTTTGGGGCCGGATTCGTCCCGGGCCGGGTCCAGGCCCGGGATTCGCGGCAGCTCCGGGCGGGCCCGGCCGAGCCGGGCTAAACATTAACCCGACACTCACCCACGGCCCCCACGCCTCCACATAAACCCTGGTTTATTCTTTTCAGGGTTTATTCTTTTCAGAGGGTTTATTCTTTTCAGGGTTTATTCCTTCCCAGCTGCCGGAGGGGGGGCGGGCTGAGGGCTGGGGTCCCACGGCCCTGGCACGGGCCACGACACGGTTTAAGTTAATTAAACAGCTGCCGTAACGAGCTGGGAATAATAGCTAAAGCATGGAGAGAGAGTGGCAGTGCCGGGACAAGGACAGCGACAGGGGGGTCACTGGGGTCACAGCCGGACCCTGCACGATCATTAACACGATTAATTAACCACCGGGAGTAATTGGAGAAGGATTTGGGGACGCAGCAGGGCGAGGGCGGCTCCAGAGCCGCTCCCCAGCACACAGCGAGGACAGGGACGGGGGACAGGGACAGCGGGGGTCACAGCCGGACGCTGCACGATCATTAACACGATTAATTAACCACCGGGAGCGGCTGCAGGCAGATTTGGGGACGCAGCGGGGCGAGAGCGGCTCTGGAGCCGCTCCCAGCGCACAGCAAGGACAGGGCGGGGCGGCTGCGACACTTGGGGACACCCCGGGGCCACCCCGGGGCCACCCCGGGGCCACCCCGGGGCCACCCTGGGGACACTCCGGGGACACCCCGGGGACACCCCGGGCTCAGGGCGACAGGCGCTCGTAGACCCAGTCGCCGTGGCCGCGGTGGGTCATGGCCCCGAGCGGCGCCGCGCGGTCCCGCTGGCGGCGGAACGCGATCCGGTCGTGCAGCCGGTTCGATTGGCCCTGCCAGAACTCCACCGCCTCCGGCTCCAGCAGGTACGCGCCCCTGCAAGGGCCGCAGGGGCTCGGGGGCGGTTCTGGGGGGCTCTGGGGGGCTCAGGGGGGGCTCAGCCCCCCGCTCTCACCAGTAGTCCGGCCTGGGCACGGCCCTGTCCCGGTACAGCTCCTCCAGCTCCGCGTTCTTCCTGCGCAGGAACTGCGGGGAGGGGGAACGGGGTGGGGGGGATCCCACAGGGAATGGGGATCCCACAGGGAATGAGGATCCCATGGCTGATCCCACAGGGAATGAGGATCCACAGCCGATCCCAAAGCCCACAGGGCAATGATGGGATCCCACAGCCGATCCCAAAGCTCACAGGGATCCCACAGCCGATCCCAAAGCCCACAGGGCAATGATGGGATCCCCTGGCTGATCCCAAAGCCCGCAGGGATCCCACAGCCGATCCCAAAGCCCACGGGGATCCCCTGGCTGATCCCAAAGCCCACAGGGATCCCCTGGCCGATCCCAAAGCCCACAGGGATCCCACGGCCGATCCCAAAGCCCGCAGGATCCCGTCCCGCCCGGCTCACCTCGCGGTCGGGGATGACGGAGCTCTGCCTGCTCACCAGGGCCCCGATCTGGCTGCCCCGGGGCCGCGACTGGAAATAGCGCTCGGATTCCTCGGCGGGCAGGCGGCGCACGGAGCCCTCGATCCGCACCTGGGGGGCCCTGAACCCTCAGCCCTGAACCCCAAACCCCAAACCCCGAACCCTAAACCCTAAACCATGAACCCTGAACCCTCACCTGGGCAGCCCCGAGCCCCCAGTGCACACCTGGGCCACCACAGCTCCCAAGGCGCTCCCCTCCCGAGCATGGAATTGCCCCGTTCCGCAGCTTTTCCACCCAAAACTGAGGGACCGCCATCCCCTGGGATCTGGCATGGGGTGTCAAAGGGGCTCCTGAGCACAAAAACACCTCAGCCCCCAGATTTTCCACCCAAAACTGAGGGACCGCCATCCCCTGGGATCTGGCCAGCAGCTCCAGAGGTGCCCCCGAGCACGGAACTGCCCCATTCCCTGACATTTCCGCCCAAAACTCGGGGCCCGCCCTGCCCTGGGCTCAGGCCAGGGGTGTTCAAGGGGCTCCCGAGCACGGCACCGCCTCATTCCCCGACTTTTCCCCCCAAAATCGCAGCCCCCGGGCCCAGGACCCCCCTCACCTGCCGGCAGAGCGGCTCCCAGTAGAAGACGACGGAGGCGAAGGGGTTGGAGTCCTGGGGGAGCAGCAGGGAGCTGTCAGGCCCCGGAATTCCGGATGTACCGGCATTTGTTTGTTGGGATTTGTTTGTTGGGATTTGTTTACTGGGATTTATTTACTGGGATTTATTGGGATTTATTGGGATTTGTTTATCGGGATTTATCAGGATTTATTTATCAGGATGTGTTTATCGGGATTTATCAGGAATTATTGGGATTTATCAGGATTTATTTATCAGGATGTGTTTATCGGGATTTATCAGGAATTATTGGGATTTATCAGGATTTATTTATCAGGATGTGTTTATCGGGATTTATCAGGAATTATTGGGATTTATCAGGATTTATTTATCGGGATGTGTTTATCGGGATTTATCAGGATTTACCCCAAAATTCCCCCTCCCCCAGCCCTCAGCAGCTCCAGGAATTTGGGATTTATTGGGATTGATTTATCGGGATTTATCAGGATTTATCAGGATTGATTTATTGGGATTTATCAGGATTTATTTATGGGGATTTATGGGGATTGATTTCTCAGGATTTATCAGGATTGATTTCTCAGGACTTTTGGAGATTTCTCAGGATTTCTCACAATCTATCGGGATTGATTTATGGGGATTTCTCAGGACTGATTTATTGGGATTTATCAGGATTTATTTATGTTTGTTGGGATTTGTTTGTTGGGATTTGTTTACTGGGATTTATTTACTGGGATTTATTGGGATTTATTGGGATTTGTTTATCGGGATTTATCAGGATTTATTTATCAGGATGTGTTTATCGGGATTTATCAGGAATTATTGGGATTTATCAGGATTTATTTATCGGGATGTGTTTATCGGGATTTATCAGGATTTACCCCAAAATTCCCCCTCCCCCAGCCCTCAGCAGCTCCAGGAATTTGGGATTTATTGGGATTGATTTATCGGGATTTATCAGGATTTATCGGGATTGATTTATGGGGATTTATCGGGATTTATGGGGATTGGTTTCTCAGGATTTCTGGGGATTTCTCAGGATTTCTTTCTGGGGATTTCTCAGGATTGATTTATCGGGATGGATCCCTGGGACCCCCGGACCCCCGGACCCCCGGCCGCGCTCACCAGCTTGGGATTTATTTATCGGGATTTATCGGGATTGATTTATGGGAATTTATTTCTCAGGATTTATCGGGATTGATTTCTCGGGATTTCTGGGGATTTCTCAGGATTTCTGGGGATTTCTCAGGATTGATTTATCGGGATGGATCCCTGGGACCCCCGGACCCCCGGACCCCCGGCCGCGCTCACCAGCTCCCGGCCCTTCCTGCTCTCGTAGTTGCTGAAGAAGCGCAGCCCGTCCGGCCCCAGCCCCTTCAGCAGCACCATGCGCGCCGAGGGCCGCCCGTCCCTGGGGACACGCGTGTCACCCTGGGACCCCCGGGGACACCCTGGGACACCCTGGGACACCCTGGGGACACGCGTGTCACCCTGCTAGCCTGGGACCCCCGGGGCCACCCTGGGGACACCCTGGGGACACCCTGGGGACACATCCTGGGACACCCCTGGGGACACGCGTGTCACCCTGCCAGCCTGGGACCCCCGGGGACACCCGGGGACACCCTGGGGACACATCCTGGGACACCCCTGGGGACACGCGTGTCACCCTGCCAGCCTGGGACCCCCGGGGACACCCGGGGACACCCTGGGGACACATCCTGGGACACCCCTGGGGACACGCGTGTCACCCTGCCAGCCTGCCACCCCCGGGGACACGCTGGGACACCCTGTGTCACACTGCCACCACCTGGGGACACTCAGAGGGACACCCCTGTGTGTGGGACACCCGGGGACACCCCCGGGGACACCCCGTGTCACCCTGCCACCCTGCCAGCCCGGGGACACCCTGGGGACACCCCCTGGGACAGCCTGGGACAGCCTGGGGACACCCTGGGGACACCCTGTGTCACACTGCCACCACCTGGGGACACTCAGAGGGACACCCCTGTGTGCCACCCTGTGTGACACCCCCTGTGTCACCCCCTGTGTGTGCCACCTGTGTCGCCCATGCCACCTGTGTCACCCCCCGTCTCACCCCTGTGTCCCCCCGGTGTCACCTGGAGCAGGTGGCCAGGCCCATGTCCCTGTGTGTCCCCATGTCCCTGTGTGTCCCCATGTCCCTGTGTGTCCCCCCCATGTCCCCGTGTCCCCGGTGTCACCTGGAGCAGGTGGCCAGGCACATGGCGTTGGGCTCGGCGATGTCCGGGCACTGCAGCGCCTCCTGCAGCCAGGCCCGGAACTGCTCCAGGGGCTCCAGGGACACCAGGTGACACTCCTCGAACGCCTGGGGGGGGGACGGGGGACACCGGGGGTCAGGGGACACCGGGGACACCGCGCTCGGGGGCACGGCCAGCGCAGGGGACAGAGCGGGGACAGCGAGGGGAAAGCGGGGACACGCCGGGGCTTGGGGACAGCCCGGGGGTGTCGCCCTGTCCGGGGTGTCCCCGGGGCTTGGGGACACGGCCGCGTGGGAGGGGAGCGGGGGGGTCTCCGGGCCTTGGGGGCTCCTCCCGGGGTTCCCCGTGCCAGGAGCCCCGGATGTCCCCCCGGTCCCCACCTCGTTGTCCCGGTGTCCCCGTGTCCCCCTGTCCCCCCGGTCCCCACCTCGTTGTCCCGGTGTCCCCATGTCCCCCCGTGTCCCGGTGTCCCCCCCG